CTCCTCAGTTTCAGTGATATAAATATTATAAACATTTCTTCCCGGCTGTGATTTAACATTCCCACCTCTGCTTACACGATACTTTCTAAATCTGCTGGGTTTTTCCTTCATGATGTTTGAATTGAGAAAAGCACTTCTCATTTGGGATTCTAAATACAGATTCTTCCAAAGCAGTTTTCAGTTTAAGTTCGGTGTGTCTGCACATGTGTGCTCAAAGGCAGGGCTGTATTCTACTGCCCTGTAAATGGCCAGCAACCACTCCAATACCGCTTGTTGAAAAACTTACTTCTGCTTTGAAATTCCATGGTAAGCAGAAAGTAAGCCCCTAGAGTTACTCAGAGGTCAAGTTCTCAGCATTTGTCCTGGTGGTGGTATGTCTATCCAACTCCTGATCCACATCATCTTTTTGTGTTAGAGTTTAGGCCCAATAAAGCCTTGTTCTTTTCTTTTTAAGTGCTGCACAGCTTCTTTTCAATGTAAAGCTTTGAAATGCCTTTGCGTTTCAAACTTTATGTTAATGGACATATCGGCAACAGATTGCCTACTTTTTTTTTTTTTTTTTTTTTTTGGTTTTTCGAGACAGGGTTTCTCTGTGGCTTTGGAGCCTGTCCTAGAACTAGTTCCTGTAGACCAGGCTGGCCTCGAACTCACAGAGACCCACCTGCCTCTGCCTCTGGAGTGCTGGGATTAAAGGCATGTGCCACCACAGCCTGGCTTTTTTTTGTTTTGTTTTTTGAGATGGAGTCTCACTGAGTAGCCCTAGGCAGCCTAGAATCAACCTTATACTTATGTGTTGAAGCAGAGCCGTGAGCCTGCCTTGGATTCTGACGACCTCCCCTGCAGTTTACCTGTCCGCTTGCTTCCTTCTCATGTGTTCTGAGAAACTTCCTGGCTCTGAGGTGTGTTCTCAGAATTGAGGTGAGAGATGGGAAATTTTTTTCTGTTTATCATTTTATTTTTCTTCATGCCAGAGATTTTTTTTTTTAAACTGGGCATAAAATTAAAAGTAGACTGCTGAGCTGGAGAGGTGGCTCAGTAGTTAAGAGTGTTTACTGCTCTCCCAGAGGACCTGAGTTAGATTCCCAGTACCTATATGGCAGCTCACAACTCCCTGCACTTCCAGTTCCAGGGAAATATTACACCCTCTTCTGGCCTCTATGGGCTCCTGCATGCATGTGGTACACGGACTCATACAGGCTCACGTATATTCACATAAAAATAATTTTTTTAAAGTTGACTGTTGATTTATTCCTATCAACACATCTGAGCTACTCTTCTCTATAACGATCAGCAGCAGCAATGGGTAAGGTGGCCTCTGCTGTCTGCCTCATTGCTTCTCAGATCATCTCTGGCATTCTGTACTTCCACCATGATAATACAAGGTAGATGGTCCTTCTGTTCATCCTGCTTGGGTTTCTCTGTAGCTTTGGAGCCTGTCCTGGAACTGGCTCTTGTAGACCAGGCTGGCCTCGACTCACAGAGATCTGCCTGCCTCTGCCTCCCAAGTGCTGGGATCAAAGCATGCGCCACCACCTCCCGGCTTGTTTGTTCTTTGAGACGGGTTTCTCAAAGTGTAAAATAGCTACCACTATCTTGCTCTATAGACCATGCTGGCCTCAAATTCAGAGGTCTGCCTGCCTCAGCCTCCTGAGTATTGGGATTAAAGGTGTGCTCCACCACTGCCTGGCCAAGGGCCCTACAGACATTTAAATTACTGTACATGACAGTCAGCCTCAAGAATGGTCATACCCAGTGACAACTAGCTCCTGGTGATCATACATACTCCTATTACCTGCAACCCTCTCTCTCACAGAAAGTAAGAATGACTAATGTAGCCTCTTCCACAAAAACAGAGGAACTGGGACGTGACTCTCAGGCTAGAATGTTAACATCTTAGCAGCTTCTACCCTGTTCCCTTTCCACCCTCTCACTGGGCGAAGCCAGTGCCGGGCTGCCTTCCTGAGGCTACTCAGCTACCCTGTGGAGATTTCATCCTGTGGCAAGGGTCTACAGGCTCCCAACAACCCCTCTTTACTGTCTACCACTGACTTCTGTGGATGGGAGCCACTGTACAGTTTCCATTCTGTTTTCAGAGGACTGTGGTTGACTGAACCCTTGACCGTACCTCCTGGACCAAGTCAGAGTCCCCTAAGCAAAGCACCTATCCTACAGGCATGGTGGTACACTGTTATAATTCCTGCACTCCTGAGGTAGAGGCAGGACAATCAGGAGTTTAAGGTTATCATAGGCTTAAATAGCAAGTTCAAAATCAGCCTGGGCTACATGAGACCTTGTTTCAGAAACCCCAAACCTATAGGAATACCCCTCCCCATAGGAATACCACTTAATTATTTTGGAGCAGACTGGCAGGTTTAAAACATTATATGTGAGTCAGCAGTGGTGACCCATGCCTTTAATCCCTTTAATCACAGGCGGATCTCTGTGAGTTCGAGGCCAGCCTGGTCTACAGAGTGAGTTCCAGGACAGTCAGGGCTACACAACACAGTGAAACATTGTCTTGAAAAACCAAAACCAGCCAAACAAACGAAAATCATCTCTGTCCACACAGTAATAGGATCTGGTTCCACAGGAGATCTTGGTATTATCTGGCAAAACTTTTCAGTATTCCTTGAAACAGATAATCTGAAGGACCTTGTAATTTCTGTTGCTACAGTGAATGGCAACTTTTCATGATATTTCCTGGTTTAGTGTATTGAAACAAGGAAATTATAATAGTCATATAACCAACCTTCACCTTTTATTTTTTAATCTGGTGTATGTAGATTTTCCAGACAGACAATATACTGTTGCCAATAGTGATTGTTTTCTTCCTACTTGGCTATTTAAGCTACCTTTTCCTCTTGACTATGGCAAAGCCTTATGAATCTCCTAGGTTGAAGCTAGCCCAGCTATTCTTAATTTTTTCATATGCACTTAGCTGCAAGACAAGAGAAATGTAGGGATTATTATTATTATTATTTTGCTTTGTTTTGACTGGCCTGAAGTCTCCACGTAGAGCAGCCTGGCCTTGAACTCAAGAGAGATCTCCCTGCCTCTGCTTCCCACGTGCTGGGAAGTTGTGCACCACCATGCCTAGCTACATGTAGCATTCATGGTTAGTGACATGCTGAATGAAGAGATGCCTTGGAGAGAACCCACCAAATCTGACATTGTTCTCCAGGAACACACTCTTTGAAACCGGGAAGGGTGGGTAAAATTCATCTCAAGCAGGTTTTGCAAATTTCCTGAGTTTACTGCTATCATAAAAAGTGAGGACTATCTTCCCTTGCTGATCCTGTCAGCTGTTGTGGCTACAGAGGCTACTGACTTCTGAACACCATGGTGTGTTAAGATTCCAGAAGACTCTTTTTCACTAACTAGGACAAACACTGGCTCTCGGCAGGAGGCTGGCTTTGCACGTCTGCTGCTCCTTAGCTGGCCACTCAGTTTCAGAGCGGGGTGAGGTAAGGAGGTGTCCTCCTGCCGGCTCCTCCCTAGTGTTCAGAGCACACTGGGCAGATCCTCAGAAAGTATTGCACTGTGGCTGGATGCCTTGAGGACCCCTCTGCCAGGAAGGCTTTCTCCAACCCTTGCCTCAGGCCAAAGGTGCCTGAGTTCTATGAGGTATCATGTGTGGCTTTGTGGCTGAAGACAACTTGCAGAGAAGCAAGGAACAAAGGACTTTTGTTAGCCAAGTCAGGAGCTCTGTGGGAGGTAAGGTGAGACACAGCCAGCGAGGGAAGAACCAGGGAGAGCAAAATCTATACCAAGGGAGAGAACCTGACACCAGACAGGGTCAGGGAAGGCAGCCTGGGCATCCTTCAAGGTCACTAGCAGGGCCTGAGAACTGTGGAAGGAAGAGGCAGAGGAACTTCAAATTGGAGCTGGTCCCAAAAGGAGCCAAGGTGCAGCAGACATTGAAGGGACTCACTGTCCCCAACCTGGATCCTGGGGTCCCGTCAGCCACAGGATTCTGTTCTTCCCCATTACTTCACCATACAGAATCCCTGCAGCTGGCCCTCTTCCTGAGCAAACCTCACCCAACAGACACTCAGTGGCTTTACAATCTAGCATGCCCTGTGGAGACACTGGCCTCATGAAAGCTGAGGGGTCTACTGGTTAGCACCGTGAAGGCCAGGTCTGAGCACCTGTCACCTTGCAGGGGCCTCAAAGCACTGGGTCCTGGAGGACATGCTGAGGAAGTCAAAAGTAGTCATGCTGGTGACTTTGGGACCCCTCTTTTTTGTTGTTGCTCGTTTTTTGAAAGTGTTTTGCTATGTAGCTCAACCAGGCCTTCCACTTGTGATCCTCCTCAGTGTGTGAACTATGACACCAAGCTTGGGAGCCTGTGTTCCTTATCTGACTGACCTTTTATCTCAGCATTTACACAAGTAGACAGACACACTTCAGTGCCTGGCTCCGTGGCTGGCTATACTACCCACGCACTGCTAGCTTGAGCTTGGCCAGTTTTGCCTGATGTGGTCTGGCTTTGGATTCTTTCTCAGTAGAAACTATATCCACAGTTAGCATGACACCCTCTGCTCAGGGAGTGTCCTAGGGGTCTGCACAGTTGGGCCTATTTCTCCTACCCACAATTCAGTGCTTGCTATCTGGTGACGGTTGATCAGGGTTTGCAGACTGCTTGAGGCTGTCACAAATACAGCTGCCATGTACATTTCAGTGATGACCAATGTCTATCCAGAGGACACTTCCTTGCTGTGGGGACCTCATTCTCCCTCCCACTTAGTGATACTCCCTTGTCCAGGGTTGAGGGACACTGGGGAGGGTCGAGATGGCTACGTGTGGCACCATCTTCCTGACCTCAGAGGAAGCTAAAGGGTTTCAAGTCTACCCCCAAGCCTAGTCAGAGTGGCTGGAGAAAGAGAGCCCTGGAAATAGAAACTGCATGTTTCTGTCAGTCCCATTCAGTCCTCTCCTCTTGTCCCAGAGGTCAGTTTATTTAAAAGTCTGGGTTTTCGGAAGAGCCCCCTACTGCTTACCCAGTCTTGGGTCTGCAGGTCCTCTTGAGGATTGCTCTTGGTATCTGGCTGGCTGGAAGTTGCTGAAGGCCCGTGTGGAGGGGACTGGTGCCCTTGTTCTTGAGCAAGCTGCCACTGTAGCGTCTTCCTTTGGGGGCGCTGCTGCCTACCGTCCATCTCTACCAACAGCTGGCTGCAGTGCGCACTTCTAGGGTTCTGGCTGCCACAAGCTCTCCGAGGGCCACTTTGTAGGCAGTGACTACTCTTGCCAAATAGCGGAGCCCCTCACGTGAGTTTCTCAGCTCCTGCGGCCACTGCCTTCCACACCAGCAGTTCCCCCAGGGACATCAGTAGCTCAGTAGAAGCACATGCTTTTCTTTTCTGCTCTCACTGGTAGGGAGTCCTGACAGGCTCTCAATCCTGCCCTCAGCCCTCCTCCCTTCTGTCACTTTGACGACCCGACCACACAGGGCCGAGCCTGAACTCGGGTTTCTCTCCCTCTCCGCGGGCCTGAACCGTGGAATTCAGTTGAAGGACAGGAGTAAGATGTGGATAATTGGGTCACCCACTCCCACGCAGGAGCAGAGCTCGTCCAGGTGATTCCTGAGCGGGCTCAGTGGGCACCAGGAAGGGAAAGGTCTGGAGGATCCCGGACAAATGAGGAAGGCTTAATGGGATCCAGTTGACAACGAATCAGCCGGTGGGGGTAGGGCTCAGAAGGATCTGCATCGGGAGTGGAGGGTCACGGGCTGCGAGGTCTCAATTGGGTCCAGATAAATGGGGCAGACTAGTAGAGCGGCAGTAACCTCAGACTAATGAGAGGCCGACTCTGGAACCTACAAAAACCTAAGGAAGAGGAACGGACTTCCGTTCTACAGACCCCGCCCTTCGTTGCCGTTTCCGCCCCTCGTTGCTTGCGCTTCAGCGCGCTCCAGTCGCGTGGCCCCGATACATTGAAAGAAATCACACCAGTGGGCGGCCTGAGCGCCGTCAGTTTATTAGTGTCGCTTCAGCACCTTGAAATCGTCCACATGGTCGCATGGGACAGATCAGCATCTGCTCCCAAAAAGCTATTTACATGAATCCTTTCCATTAAAAACAACAAACAAACTAGCAACACATACACACACCCTAGAAATCAGTCACAACGCGCTGGACCGTCTTCAAAAGTGGACGGAGTCATCCTCACGCAAGGCCGTCAGCCTCTGCTGGCCCCTCTCCAGGACACAGCAGTCTCCGGAGGCGTGGGGGTTTGGAGAGCAAGTGAGGGTCCAGTACCCTGGCTCAGGGAAGAAGTGCTGGGACATTTTTATAAGGAATTCATTTGAGATGGAGGCTAGAGGCAGAAGTGAGGCCTTCAGGGTAAGGCTAGGACAAGCCATTGCACAGGAACCGAGGGCCAGCCCCTCCTTTCCCAGCTCTGGTACCATACAGTGATACCCAGCTGCATACTCAGAGGGTAGTGGCACGGACTAACTTGAAGGTAGAGGCAGCGTCCCCAACTGACAGGAATGAGACCTTCCCATCCACACAGGCTGTGTGGCCAGGCCTAAGAGAAACCAGTGCTGACAGTGACCTAAGACTGGGAGGCTCTAAGGGCCTCAGGGCTAAGGCCTGTGGGATATACACACACACACACACTGCTGTTCTCACCTGACACCTGTCAGGGGGCTTTGGTGTCTAGTCATCCTTCAATGGGACAAAAGTACTTCTCTATGAATCCTCATTACAGCTCCACGAGGTAGGCAAGGAAAATGGACATGTCTCTTTAACCAAAGGGGAAACTGAGGCTCAGGGGATTACGGCTATAGTGGTGGGTGCAGGGTACTCAGGCTTTACTGACTTGGACTTGTATAAAGTCAGCCCTCTGGAACCAATCAAGAATGCATGAAAAGAGAAAGAGTTCTCCAGAAAGGGGCTGCCCTCAGGCATGAGCTTGAAACCCTGGCCCCAAGGCCTCTAGGCCTAATCTTTTCTAGCAAGGCTGACTTTGGGAGGAAACTCCAGGGGTTGGTCAGCTGGGCTCTGCTCTTAAACTCTAAGGATCAAAGCGGCCTGACTCTGTAACAGATCTTTCCAGAGCACTCTTCACCAGCTCCACTGTCACTGAGCCCTGAACCCAGGGATCTAGGGCCCAACCCAGATCCCAGCAGCAGTCCAGGGCCTTGCCCTGGACAAATGGACTCTTTTCAGCAAGGTGAGGCGGGAAAGTAAGTGAATAGAAAATGGGCCATTTTTTCATCCCAGGAAAGGTGAGGAGTCCTCAAATTCAGCCTGCCCTATTCTTGGTAATTTTCTGAGCATTCTCTTAGAAGTTCTCAAGGCTAAGACACCACCAGGGTGCCTGGGAGTGCCAGTTTCCAAGGGGGCAGGGCACTCTTCCATCTGACACTTCAGGGAGAAAATTAGGACTGAGGCTGTGAACCCCTTCATGAATCTGGTGGGGCATGTACAGTCAGGATGATCCTTGCTGCAGGCCAGCACATCCCTCTCCTGCTGAGCAGGAAAGTGGTGGAGGCTAGAGCTGCCACCAAGAATGGATCCACGTGGCTTTGAGGAGCATGGATGGGATAGATCCTTGGATAGCCTTTGTAGTTAGACCAGCCTGCTGGAGCCTTCACTGGCTTCACTGTGCGCGTGCGCATGTGTACACACCCGCACACACACACACATACATACACACACACACACATACACACACACCTCCAGTTGCCTGTTTCCAGTTCAAAACCTTGAACTCAGACCCCATATAACCAGTCCTAGATGTTCCTGTCCAGCAGGCAGAATAGAGGTGTAAGGGCATGGTAACTAGGTCTCAGACCCCAGCAGTGTCTCTCATTCCAAGATAGACAATGGGAAATTTGCAAGGACCACCTATCTGAGCAGCAGAATCTGCAGAAGCCTAGCAGTGCCTCTGGAACTGCAGCCAGAGGGGCAGGGGTAGGTATGTAGCTCCTGCTGGCTCTCCACCCAAAGGGACTTCACAAGAAAACATCTGCTTGGCAGCTACATCGTCAAATGTATGAGAGCATCAGAAAGATCTGCTACTATAAAACCTCCGCCATAAGGCTGGAGTTTTTTGGGAACCACGCATGGAGTGCCAGGGGCCACCATCCCATGCTAGGAGACCAAATATGCTCTTTACCCTCAGCATTTGGCCAGACTGTACCCTGCTCCCTGCTCCCCAGGAAAGCAGAATCCTGACTTCAGGAACAGACATGACACAAAGGCAAGAACACTTCTCGCGTGTAGTTCTGGGGTTTCATGAGACCAGAGCTCACCTCTCTTCTTACCAGCCTTTCCACTGCCCACATATTCTGGTTAATAAGCAGAGCAAAGTTACTCGGTGGCCCACAGGGAGCTCGTTAGCTTCCCCTTAATTTCTGGGCTATGAGCACATTCATACTTAAGACTGTTTCTTTGTGTTTGTAAGAGTCTGTCTCTGTAGTAACCACATGTTAACAGAAACACAGCTGTCCCTCCATCAATGGCTGACACAGAGCAGGACACAGGCCCCTGTATCGTCCTGGGCCAGCCCTTCCGTGGGTGGGGCTAGAAGGTGGCCTTGGAGTGTCCAAAGATGCAGATGGGGAAGTGCTTCACGTGGGAAGACCACTGGGCAGCCAGCTGGAAGAACTTGACATCGCTGCATTCCACGCCATCGATGAGGACTGTGGGAGAGGACACCTCACCATCTGCCTGCCTGGTGAGGCATCCACCTGGGACGGTGGGCTGCTACCAGGGGTAGGGTAATCCATGCTTACCAGGCCCTTTCTACCACCTGCCCTCCCAGGACTCATTGCCATAGTGGGTTCACTTCCCAAGGGACTAGTGGCAAAGACAGCATAAGCCATATTTCAGCCAGGCATGACTCATGTATGCCACCTCCACCTCACAGGGTCTTACTTAAAATAGCTGCATTTCCAGAGAGCCTGAGGAAGACTCAAGGACCCAAAACTCACTGAGGCCCAAGAGTCCTCACTCTGAGTGCACTGCTTACAGAATAGCCTCTGGAAGACACTGATGTACAAACTAATCTTTAAAAGGAAGAAAGGAAGGGCCGGAATATGGTTCAATGGTAGAATTATCTGTCTAGTATGTATGAGACCCTAGGTTCACTCTCTAACAACCCTCTACCATACCTTCATCAATAAAAACACAGAAAAGGTTGAAACATTATTTGAACTTGAAAGGCTGTTAGATGTATGCAAGTTCCTTATCAAAATGTGTTCCAAGTGTGAATCTGTAAGCATGCCTTTCATAGAAGAACAACCGGTTCCTGTGCTGGGTTTGAGAAGCCACCCATCTGTTTTGCTCTGCATTCACATTATACAGGAAGAACCTAAAAGGATCTGGGTTCCCCCAGCACCCTGTGGAGTCCCTGGGCCCATGCTCACCCCGAAGCATGTTCTGTTGGTGCTTAGCTGTGCAGATCAGCCGACTGATGCCTTCGATGCACTGGCTTTTAGATTCCACATCTTTGTCCTTAGTTTTCTTGGGCAAAAACATCACTGGGAAGAAAAGAGCCCTGCTGTTGATTCACTGCTCCTTCAGGGCCAAGCCGGTCAGAGCCCCAGCAGCAGGCAGGATGGGAGAACAGTAGCCATGGGGACTTGGCTGGCCCCTGCTCACCTGGGATTCAGTTTCTTGCTGTGACCACATACAGCACCCTCCTGCCTGATACTCCACCTGAAGCCAGAAGCTACCCAGAACCTCAGGATCCTCACAGCTCAGGATAGCCACAACTCAGGGGCCACAGCTGTCAAAGCATGTCTGATTGCCAACCCCTTCTGAGTGAGGTGTGTGCTCATGACAATGAATTTACCAGGAACTTGCTAAGGGTTGGGAATGATATCCCCATCACCAATAGTTACCACAGAGACCCCTCTCTCCCATTGTCCCTGCTCAGTACATTCCCACCTCACCCTTCTTGTTCTTCTCCTTGGTGACCACGGTCATGGACATGGTGGGTGTGGCTGCAGCCTCGCCACTGCTGGGCAACCTGCTGACCTGGAGGGACCGGAAAGTGCACTTGAGCGTGTTTTTGGTGGTGGGGAGGTCCTTCTTCTCGGCATCTCTCTTCCTGTCCGCAGGCTGCGCTGCTGTCCAGTAGTCCACCTGCAGCCCCATGAGCTCAGCGCCGGTGCCCTGGCTGTGGAAGGCAGAGGGAAGTACTCACACTCATGATGTCACTGTGCCACTGTAGGCAAGGAGGTGTGGCTAGCGTCTTACCTACTAACTTGCTGGCCAGTGCTGGGGAACTATGAGAAGCTTTTCAGAGCTGACTGCCCACTTGTCTTTCGGGATAATAGTGTTAGTGCCTGTGGCCCTGGCAAAATTGCCACTCTCCTGGGGCCTAGATAATAGGTTCATCAGAGGTGGAGTGGCTGGTGACATCAGGTGGCTAGACGAGCTCTGACAAAGAGCCAGCAACCTCAGTGAACCTTAAGGCCATGCTCACCATGGACCCCAAAACTCCCCAGTTTCAACTTGGTTGCCTTGAGTTCTGCTCAAGACTCAGATGGCTTGGTAGGACTCAGTTCACGTGTGTGGGGCCTAAGAAGCTGTCGCCTGCATTTCCTCCCTCAGTTCCTCTTTTAACAGCCCACCCTGTGCTAAGGGACTTTCAGGCTCAGTGACTCCCATCCTTAGGAGTACTCACTGAAAACATCAATTACCTCCTACGCTGCTCCTACAGTTGCTCTACAGCAAACTGGACCCAGCCCAAAGGATCCCTCACAGGATCTCCACCACTCCTTCACCAAGTCCGCCCATATTGCTGACAAGACGGTAACACGGTAACACGAAGGGTGGATGTCACGATAGAGAGCCATGTTC